TGGACTTGAGGAATCTGACCAGCTGACCAGGGACTTCAATGGGGGTGATAAGGCCCCAGGATACTGTGCTGGATCCTTCTGAGGGCCCCAGAGTCCCCCTTCTCAGACTCAGAGGAGCGACCGTGATCTGGAGTCGGGAGCCTCGACATGAACTGAGGCTATGCTGTAACCACTACAAGTTTAAGTAATAAATAAAGTGAATGCAAAGATGAACACCAGTCTCGTAGCAAAAGCCAGGCAGGCCAAAGCTGCTGGGAGCTGCTGCTTCTGCTTGGGTTAGCACACAAAAGAGCTGGAGAATACCCATGCTGGGGGCAAGAGTCACGGGGGTAAACTGCACTACCTGGAGGCAGGCAGCCCTCAGCAGCCGTCAGAGGTCCCAGCACTCTCACACCAGCAGGACATGGTCTATGTTAGGCATGAGGCTCACTGATCATGCAATGTTGCAGGCTGGAGGGCACACGTGTCCCTCAGTGCAGAGGTCAGGAGAAGCAGCAACACGTTCCCCAATGGGACAGTAAGTGGCTGCTGAGTCAGAGACAAGCTCCGCAGAGCTTCAGTGAATGGGGCCTGGCTGTGCTACCCCAACCAGGGAGTGCCCCGACCCTGCACATGGGAATGGAGGATGGCTCAGTTACTGGGAAAACAGGGTGTCAGACACTCGGAAGTAAAGCACAGGGTCTCCATGATACCCAGAGACTCCAGATGCAAACAGATGTTCATGAGAAGCCAAGGTGGAAAGAAACCTTACGTCCACCATTATATATAATGTGGTCCATCCAAACCATGGCGCGTTATTTATTTATTCAGCTTAGTTTTTTGAGACAGCTTGTTATGTAGCCCTGGCTGGCCTCGTGGCAATCTGCTTCAGCCTCCCAAGTGCTCAGATTATACATGTGATGTGCTATAAGGTATAGATAGATGATAGATGATAGATTGATGGATGGATGGATGGAAAGATAGATAGATAGATAGATAGATAGATGATAGATGATAGATTGATGGATGGATGGATAGATAGATAGATAGATAGATAGATAGATAGATAGATAGATGATGGATGGACAGATAGACAGATAGATTTGTATTGCTCTTGTTATAGTTAAGATTGAACCTAGGGCCTTGCACACACTAGACAAGCACTCTACTGCTAAACTTCATCTCCAGCCCAAACCACGGGACGTTATTCAGTCATGTAAAGGAACAACGCCCTGACACCAGAGGCCACATGCTGGGAAATGTGCAGAACAGGCAAAGCCGGGCTGGCAGGATGGCTCAGCAGGTACCAGCACTTGCTGCCTAGCCAGACCACCTCAGTTCAATCCCCAGGCCCTATAGAGTGGAAGGAGAGAACTGCCTCCATTAAGTTGTTCTCAGACCTCCATAGGCACACACGACAGGGACGTATGCACACATGCACACTGTGTGCACGCAAACATATGCACAAAGAATACATTCATAAATAAATGTACGTAAAACTTTTTAAGGAATCAGCAGTACAACAGAGACAGCAGGGTGGCAGTGGGCAAGGGCTGAGGCCGGAAGTCGCCAGGAGTGACCACGAAAGTATGTATGGTCCCTCTTAGGTTGCACAATGTGGAGAACACACTGGAGACCACTGAATGGCCACTGGCAATGGCTCCCTACACACTGTGAGGATGCCACCACAAGGCTGTCATCAAACTAGCCGACCACTGAGGCCTCTGTGCTGGTGTCTAAGCTCCCAACAACATCATCTCCGGTAGGTTACACAGAGCAGGGAGCCCCAACAGGGGCTCACCTGGGGTGTGGGGAACGTCATCTGCTGCGTGCACTGCCCCTGGAGCGTGATCCCAGAGCACTGTCTACCTGCAACAGGGACAGAGCTTTGCAAAGGGGCTGGACCTGGAAGGAGGTCTGAGTCACTAGTTCATAGCTGTTAGTAATTTTAGCTATCTGCCTGATAACAATGGGCCAGACCCAGGCCAAGTACCAATGAGCATTATCTCACTTAATGTCCAAACCAAGCCCAGGACAGACACGCTCCCTTTAAAATCTGTGGGCGCTGAGGGACAAGTAAAGGGCAAAGAGTGGAAGCTGGTCCTCTACAATCAGTGATGTGGAACCCTGCACAGCTCTCTGACCAGGGTCTGTTTCTCCTAAAGGGCTGAACCTATGGTGGGCATTTCCCATGATTCCTGGCATCCAGACCCCTACAGTAGTTTCCCTTCAGGGTCCCCTACTTCTGCAAGGTACAAGAACCCAAGTCCACAATCTAATTTGAAGGAGTCTGATCAGTATCTGCCCTCTGCCCTCAGCTACAGCCCAATGCCAAGCCCATCTGAGAAATCGACATGGTCGCCAGGACCTCATGGAGTCATCTGCACATGAAAGGTGGTCCAAACACAGCCCGCTTTTCTCTGATCCCACCCCAGTTCTCATCTAACCAGCCCTATGCCGGGCATGTTCCGTTTTTCTCCTTCTCCTGTCCCCAGAAGTCCACATTCTCCAAACTTCTGCCACAACCTAGTCACCCTAAAGAAATCAGCTTCAGGGACTGGAGAGGTGGCTCAGTGGTTAAGAATACTGGCTGCTTTGGCAGAAGACCCTAGTTCAGTTCCCAGCACCCACTGGTAGCTAACAACCATCCATAACTCCAACTTCAGATCTGACTGATGGCCTCTCCTGACCTCCACAGGCATTACCACAACACGGGTGCACTTACGCACATGGAGGCCATACACTCATACACACAAAGTATAATAAAAATGTTTTAATAAAATATTTTTTTAAAAAAGAAAGAAATCAGCTTTAAAATTGACTCTCCAGGCCAGGCATGGTGACTCATGCCTTTAATCCTAGCACATGTGAGGCAGAGACAGGCAGATCTCTGTGAGATTGAGGCCAGCCTGGTCTACATAGTGAGTTCCAGGCCAGCCAGGGCGACCAGGAGACCCTGTCTCAAAACCAAACCAAACCAAACCAAAACCTGACCGTCTCCTGCAGGGGCTCCCAGTACCCCTAAACCCAGACATTACGCCTCTAGTCAAGGTCCCCATGTCCTGCAACCTCCACTCCCACTGCAGTAGCCGGCCCAGTACCTGAACCCTCTGGTTCCTCTCTGTCTGAAAGCAGTTCACCCACCACAGCACCCCTGGGGACCACAGCACACACCAGGGACAAACCCACCCCCTGTAACGTCGAGACAAAGTCACCTAAAATGTGAGTCCTAAACCTCAACCTCACCAGCTTGTCTGCCCTCTCCTCACCAGGTGTCCCAGACCTTGACCAATGTTGCCCAAGGTGGCCACAGAAACCCATGACACCCCTACCTGCCCCGCCATCCACCAACACCAAAGTCCATGCCTGCCGCGAGGCTCCCAGACCTTGTACACAGTATGCTTGTCACAGCCTCAGGGCCTTCGGTCAGTGCCAGTCCAGGCTGTGTCACCAGCAGGAGGTCCCAGGCTAGCCACATGTCACAGAGGTGTGGAAATCATGTAGCCTGGGCACCCAGTTCTTCCACAGCAGCATCTGCGCACTGTACAACAGAAGTTCCTTCTGACTGGGTTCCAAGTAAGGCTCTGAGTCAGGCTGGCTAGCCCTAGAGGTTTGTGCACACCCTCTTCTCCACACACTACCTCGGGCTTCCCCAGATGTACACACGCCCAAATGGGAAGGACCATCCGCTCCAACTCTACCATACCCAGGCAAGGTGGCTGGACACACAGATGGACAAGAGCGGGAGCCAGAACAGCCACACTTCTGCCTCTGGGCGAGGTCCCTTTGGCCACTGAACTCAAAACTCGTGTGTGTGTGTGTGTGTGTGTATGTGTGTGTGTGTGTGTGTGTAGGCCAGTGCTTGTCCCTGAATACGCACCATAGACTCACTCTAAAGCCCCTCATGCTAGCACTGGGTAAGATACGGCTTTCCTGTCAAGACAAGACCTTGTGTTCCAGTGATGTTACCTATACACAGAGACACACCAAGCTGGGTGCCTGGCCCACCCCCTGCTAGACCAAACATTGAGGGATCAGCCGTGGCCTTTGACTGCTGAAGGCAGCACGAGCCACACAGGCCAGAGGCTGGGCGGGAACACGAAGGGCCCCACCCCACGGGCCCCACAGCACAGGCACATAGCCAGGCTCTTAGGAGGCAGCATAAGTAAATTATTAATCCTGCCAGGAGTGGTTCACAGTCACCGTCCTATTATGAAGCATTAATAATACAGGAGCCTGGGAAGGCCAGTGATCACAGCCCCATCTGAAAAGAAGACCCTGCTCAGAGGCTGTGAGGGAAAACCAACAGGCCAACAAATATACTCAGAGATGCTGAAGTAGCAGCAAGGGGGACCAGCAGATGTGCACGCCACAGCCAGCCTGAGACCAAAGAGGCCATTGTGCTGGGCTTGCTTACTCCACTCCACTCTTCAGATTCTGAGAAACCCAAGCTCCGGAAGGCAGGGGCCCCTGGGTCTGTGCGTTCCCAAGCCCGGCCCTCGCTGAGTTCTCCAGGGATATCTACTGCCCCAATGAAAAGTCCATTGCCACTGACCACTCTATGGGCTGATGAGGGCTCAGCCAGTGGCATGGGTCAGTGACACACATCCTGGAACAGACAGACAAGATGGGTGCCAGCAGCTTCCAGACGAACCCCGCCCTGTCCCATCCCTACACCAATGCTCCTGGGGGTTGGGCCAGGCCACAATATTGTTTATATGAGATGTTTCCCAACCACTCAGAAAGTCAACTAACAAAGGCAGAGAAAGGCAGCCCCTGCACAAAGTGTGGGACAGATGTCCCACCCAGACAAGCACCAAGCCCATTCACTGGGTGTCTGTGGGGTGTGATGAACACGCCAAGGGGACAAAGAATCCGACTGTGTGAGTTGGGAGGGATAGCCAGCCTGGGCACAGTGGGGATCTGACTACGTCCATGCTCAGCTTGGCCACCTACAGACTAGGCACAATATCTCCACCCACACCAAGGGCTGCAGAAGTCGAAGGGGTTGGCATACTCACAGGGTCCCTGAGCTCCTCGCTGTCCCGGGGCGAGGTCCTCGGCGTCTTTAGGGGGATCTCGTCTCCACACTCGGTGTCCGAGGCATTTGGGGACTCCGCTAGGTCAAGGAAGTCCTCTCTCTTGTGGCCTCTGAACCTGATCCTGTCCAACCTCCTGAGCATGTTCAGCACTGTGCTCCTCGGCCTCACCTGGACATGACGGGAGGGCTCCCTGCGAGAGAAAGGGGCATGTCACTGGCTGCCCACTGCTGCCTTGCCCGTACTTGGCTGCAGTCCCATGTCTAGGCTGACAGTGGTTCCTAGCTCAACAGTGGCCATCCCAGCCAGATCCCCCTGCAGGCTCCCCATCACCTCACCACAGACAGTCTGATTGGCTGCAGAGGTTCCTTCTGCCCCAGGCTCCAGCAGCACAGAAGGAAGCCTGAGGTCCTCCAGGGACCCTCTTGGTCATACCGGTCTGCACCACCATGGCATGACAGACCCAAGACCATGGAAAGAAGGTGGAGCTGGGAAGGGAGAAGAGGAGTCTGAGGTCCTCCGGGGACCCTCTTGGTCATACCGGTCTGCACCACCATGGCATGACAGACCCAAGACCATGGAAAGAAGGTGGAGCTGGGAAGGGAGAAGAGGCTGACCACTGTCCAAAACGCTAACAAACAGAACCACAAGTGACTAGGCTGGATGCACTGCCTGGGTCAGCACCAGGGCTGGGCCTCAGCAAGCATCAAGCCTGCCTTTGCAGACTCTCTGTTGGCCCAGTGTGTAGAGCCAGGCAGGGACCCTCCTGTGCCTTTGTCAGCCCAACCTTCCCTTTCACCATCCAAGCCTAGCTTGGCCTTGGAGACTCAGCTCGGGCCTTACTTCTTCTGACAAGTCCTCCCAGAACTGGACTGGGTCGGGGAGCAGGCAGAGGCCTGGCAGCATGTCACACTGCATGCTGTGTGCTGCATGCAAAGCGCATGTACTATAACACAAGAGATGCCCTGGAGGCCTGTTCTCTTTATCTCTACCCTTACCGGACCAGGAGAGCCTTGGCAACCCTCAAAACTCCCAGGAGGGGTGGGGAGGGGCTGTTCTTCCACAGGGTTCAGTTGGCCTTGGTCTCAGGCCCATAGAAGGGCTGCCCAGGTAGGGAAGGGCCACAGCTCCGATCCTAGACCAAGCCATGGAGCTCCAGGTCCAGGGCCCACAGGCTGCGCTCCCACAGAGCCTGCCTCTGATACCTGTGAGAGCCCTGAGTCCCCACAGCAGTGTCAGACACACGTGGGCCCCAGCCTGCTCTGCTGTTTGCTGCCTTTCTGAGCTTAGATCCTTGCCTCTCTGAAAGAGAAATGATCCTGACCAAGCAAAAGTATTCTGGGAGTTTGAGATGACACATGCTAACAGCCTGAACCTGGGCCTAATCAACCACAAGATTGTTTTCACGCAAAGAGTACTGAGGGAATGAACAGGTAGACTCCATGCAGCGAGCTGGGAAAAGCTTCCTGTTTGGGGCATCAGCACAGAGCCCTCCATAGGCAGACCAATCACAGTCTGGAGATTGCTTTATAAGACAGTATGCTCACCCAGGCCCACAGCAAGACTCACCGAGATGGGAAACCCCAAGACCTTGGCTGGAATGTATCAGAAATTGCTCTGGAGGCTGGGGAAGCAGTTCAATTGGTAGAATGCTTGCCTGGCATGCAGAAAACCTTGGGTTCGATCCCCAACACTGTGTAAAACTAGATGTGGCGATGAGATCTTATAATCCTTGCACTTCGGTGACTGAAGTTCAAGCTCACCATCTACTTAGTAATTTGAGACTAGCCTGGGCTATATGAGACACTCTGGGAAGGAAGGAAGGAAGGAAGGAAGGAAGGAAGGAAGGAAGGAAGGAAGGAAGGAAGGAAG